AAAAACGACAAAGGCTAGAAGAAGCATGAAACACACAGTCACAGAACCTGGGGAAGAAAAGGAAAGCTATGTAAACGGCAGGGAAACAACCTTGGGTTCTGCAGGGAAACACACAGGGTTCACCACCAAAGCATCTTGCCATCAAAATTAGAACCAACGAAATAAATAATACCCAAACAAAAGCACTTCCCTAATTAAACCTGGTGAAACTACATTTAAAGGCGCTGGGTAGTCCAGCCACATTCGATCACAAGCATGTGCCTTGAAACTTCGCTGCTTCCGACGAAACGACTCGAAACTGGACCGGGATACGAGAGAGGACCAGCGACAACCTGCAGCTGTTCCCCACTGCAAACCTCCGAGCACCACCCACCCCGCAACAGTCTACCAACCACCGCCACCAACCGCAAGGAGTAAGCTTCTACTCGCGGAGGCTCCAAACACACGAACGCTTGTCAGCTAGCTAAGTGTTGAGGTAGGTGTATGGATTTCGTTCCCAATCTCTATGTGTGAAAGGTTTTCTTTCTTCCCACCTCCAGTGTGCGTTTTCTCGGATGACACACTTGTTGACTTTGGGGAGAGGCACTCCAGCTGGACATAGTTGTGAATATGGAACGCATACGTCCTTCGAACATCACGCCATGCACGCATGCTGATTTCCAGGTACGTATGCTATTGAACTTATGTTTCATCCTGACACGGCCGAGCTGGCAGTTGAATTGCACGCAGCATTTTTGAAATCCGTCGTCTGTTCGTGGACGAGATGTGCTTTGAAGTAGCAAATTAAGGCGGTCTCGGTCTCTTGTTGGATCATGTTGTGATCAGAAAGAACTTCCGACATGGCACTTGAAATTCCTCAACGTATCAAGCACATGCGCAGCCGTTTGTCCAAGGTGCGCAGCCACATTGAGTCGTTGAAAGTCTTTGCTTGATTATGCACTTGGCAAAGGGCGTCACAGAATGCTCGCAACATGACACAGTATCCACAGCCACAAGGTTTGAGCAAGTTGCGCGCTTGCTTGTTACACCCATCCAAAAGGTATGGCCAGACCTAGAGCTTTTCAGTGCAAAAGAACTGGCATCTCCATGTGTCAAGTTGGACAAAGTTGTTGGAAGCACCAAATGCTGAAAGAACAGTAGTCCGCACACCTGCAGCGACTGGTAGACTGAGTGTCCGGCATCGTGTCTCATGATGGAAAGGATCCAAACGACCTGAGAATGCTCAGGGCGCTGCGCGAAGAATATGCAGGTGGGGTAAAGAACAAACCCATGGACCTACCTTGTCTACCACTAGATCCAGTTCTTTGACTACTTTGGCCTGCAGTTCACAGGTGAAGGGCTTCACCAATCATGTCGATGGGTACAGTTCCAATCAGATCCAGAGAATGATCTGAAAGTTGCAGCCTTTTGTGCCCAAATCAAGGCGCTGACTCAACAGTAGGTTGCACAAAGCACTCGGAGTGCTCAGAAATGTTGCCTATGTGTGCCTACTTGAACTTGAGCCATGAAACCGGAAGAACAACCTTGATCGCAAGGACACTCTTTCCCTCTCTCTCTCTCACACGTATCACACGAGTTCTATGTGACCCACAGTGGGCGGTCTCTTTCGGCAGCTTGACACGGATCAGCAAGCAAAGATCAATGATTGGCAAGAATATGTTTCCAAAGAAATCTCGAAGTCTTGCTGCAGGTTTAAAATAACACTGCTGTGAAAAAAATGTCAATGTGATGTCAATGTGGAGCAACTTTGAATAGTTTCTGTAATTGATTCTGGGGACCTATGAAAGGTAAGGAGAGCGAAGCGGTCGTACTATGTTGCAAGACTCCGTCGTTGAACAACATGGACGCCGAAGAACTGGCAAAACGAGCAAATCCAAACACGCCAAGGAAAACAACAAAACTGCAAGTATGGATTGTTAAGGGAAGGTCAAGCTGGCCCTGCTATGAAACCAGAAGTGAGTCCCAAACCAAACAACAGGCCAAATACAATAAATAGATGATGCTTCGGAGGCCATTTGTTCGCACTCTTCCAAACGCTTTGCCCAAGTACTTGAACGGCTCTATAGACAACCCTGCCAGCACACAAGTGGTCAAAGCAAAGCACGCAAAGCAAGCAAAGCAGCGATTGCCAGGTCCATGATTTTGGACATCTTTTTCCCTTCTCAATGAAGTGATGCCACAGGAAGGCCAGGCATGGAAAGGCTTTCTGTGCTCTGTTGAACTTGAGTTCAACATCAAGAGTACACTTGCGCTCCGAGGTGTACAGCGAATGCACCCAGCAAATGAAGGCATCTGACATTTTTGGGGGGTTACAGAAAAAGCAGCCTGGCAGAAAAAACATGGAATGCAGGATCGAGGCAAAACCACGACAATGAGCGTGAATCAAATCGAGAAGGGAAGAGACGAAGAAACTAAGGAAGACCAGCGGAGAGAAGAGAGGACAGGAAAGGAAAAACTACTCTGCAGCGCATGACGCGATTTCCGCTTTGCCTGAGCTCTTCTCTCAACAACTAGAAATGATTTGAAAGATCAATGAAGACATCATGAGAACACATCCGTACAATGTGAATAGGAGCGGACAAGAAACACTAACTGTCTAACTGTCCACAATATCTCCAAGTGCCTACGAACCAACCTGTCACGCATCCGTCCCAAAGAAGTGCACTGCCACGTGGCTGCAAATAACGTATGTACTGAGTAGAAACTGCGAACACAGCTGGCACATGGACGGACCAGTTTTCAAGAGCTTCGATGCTGGTTCCCTCCTTGCTGTAAAAGGAAAAACAGCGGTCGAAGGCTGAGAATCAATGTGTCTTGCTTTGCAAGAGAGTAGTGGACATCAGGGTATGTTGACACTTCACAGCGTCTACACGTCTACACAATCCGCTGTTGGCGGTTCTACCAGGCCTAGTGCTCTGGTTGCTTCATGTTGCTATGCTCGGCTATGCCCCTGACCACTCTTTCATGTTTGCAAGCATGCCTTCAACTTGCGCCACCGTTGAGAAGTTCTTGGTCACGAAGTCGACGCAACCCGCTCCCTTTGTCTTCTTCCAGTCTTCTTCCAGGGCCTTCGCAAACAAAAAA